GGTGTGTGGTGTGTGGTGTGTGGTGTGTGGTGTGCGTGTGTGTGTGTGTGTGTGTTTGTGTGTGCGTGCGTGCGTGCGTGCGTGCGTGCGTGCGTGCGTGTGTGTGTGTGTTTTTGGTGCTTTGGTGCCTCGGCAGCCTGGGGCGTCTACACCTCGCCAGGCCCGTGCGCTGGGCTCTCGAGCGAAGGTCATCGCCTGCCGAGCCTGTGCGGAGCCGAGCCGCGGGCAGCGCCCCCGCCGAACTCCCCAGGGTGCAGAGCGAAAGGGCCCCCTCGAGGCCGCGCCCCACCCTGGGCCCCTCAGCCTGGTGCCAAGGGGGGCTGAGAAGCGAGAACACGCGCCGTGCCCAGGCCCCGCCAACGGCGAATGCGGGCCCAGGCACCCCGAGGGACCGCCCCCTCAGGCCCCTCAGCCACGGCGGACACCGCGCCAAGGGGGGCATTGTCTCTACCGCTGGGGCCCTCTCAGAGGCGGAACCCGCACCCCGACGACGGGCAGAGGCGCAACGGCCATCCCAGCATCCGCGAGGCCATCCACGCAGCTGGCACTCTTGCTGCTGACCCCTCCACGGCCTCAGCCCTCAGCGAGACCGTCACCGCCGCTGGGACGCCCGCTGCAGGACCTCGCACTGCCGCTGGAAGGTGGCCATCTTGTTGTCGAAGGCGGCCTCGGCCAGACGGAGCCGATCCACGGCGGCCCGAAAGCGCACCTTGGCCTCGTCGACGGCGCCCGCCACCCCACTGCGCAGAGCCACGGATAGCTCCTGCGCTCTGAGGGCACGCAACTTGGCCAGGTCCTCCACGAGGCTGGCCTGGGACCGCCGCTGGGCCTCCATCGACCCCTCCATCTTGGCGAGGATCGAGGGGAGAACGAAGTCGTCGTCGTTCGTCGCCTCCTCGCTCTCCTGACCCTGCAGCTCGGCGCCGACGATACTCTCCAAGGGGCCTCCGACGGCCTCCTCGCCCACCGCCGCGCTGAGCTGCGGGAAGGGCGGGACCTCGCCCAGCACCGTGTCCTCCCCGAAGGGGCTCTGGTGCTCCTGCTCGCTCGCGTCCGCGCGCGCCTCGGTGCTGTCCACGACCTGGTCGGTGCCCTTGCACACGTCCACGTCCAGCTCCGCGCCGTCGCCGACGGACCCCTCCAGCATGGTGTCGTCGGCGTGGTCGTCGAAGGGGTTCCCGCCCACCTCCGTGGCCACCGCCGCGCTCGGCACCATGGGCGGAGAGGGCGGGGACGAGCCGCCGCCGCCCGCCTCGGCCAGGTCCGGTTGCGCCGGCACGCGGGGCCCGCAGCGTCCGCCACGCTGGGCGCGCTGCGGCCGCACCAGGGCCTCCCGCAGGGCCTCCACGCCCTTGCCGAGGACCACGTGCGCCCCGACGTTGCGCCTGGCGCGGGCTGCGCCGCACGCCTGCACGCCCCGCAGCTGCTGGCGCATGGCGGGCTCCATGGCCTGCCAGCGCATAGCGAGCTCGGCGTCCTCCTCGGAGCCGCCGTCCGCCAGGAGCGCCCAGGCGGTGCGCAGCGCTGCGGCCACGGCAGCCGCGATCGCCTGCCGCGAGGCGCCGCCCGCCGCCGCTCCCTGAGCAGCGCCTTGGACGGCCATCGCGATGACCAGTCCAGCGCCGTCCGACCGTAGATCCATCCCCTTGGTGCCGCCGCCCGACGCCGCCATGGCAGGGGCCGCGACACGGGGAGCAGGACAGAGCCGCTCTCTCCTACGAGAAGGAGAGGCACGGCGCGTTCCTGCCCACCCTGGCACCAGGGCAGGCTAGAGCCAAAATGGCTACGGGTGCGTGTGTGTGTGTGTGTTTCTGTTTGTGTGTGTGCGTGTGCGTGTGCGTGTGCGTGTGCGTGTGCGTGTGCGTGTGCGTGTGCGTGTGCGTGTGCGTGTGCGTGTGCGTGCGCGTGTGCGTGTGCGTGTGCGTGTGCGTGTGCGTGCGCGTGTGCGTGTGTGATCGCTTGCGTCTGCGTGCGTGCGTGCGGGCGTGCGGACGTGCGCTTGCGCATGTGCGTGTGCGTGTGTGATTGTCAGCCTGTGCGTCTGTGTGTCTGTGTGTCTGTGTGTGTGTCTGTGTGTCTGTCTGTGTGCCTGTGTGTCTGTGTGTATGTGTGTCGGTGTGTCTGTGTGTCTGTGTGTCGGTGTGTCAGTGTGTCTGTGGGTCTGTGGGTTGTGGGTCTGTGTGTCTGTGGGTCTGTGTGTCTGTGTGTCTGTGTGTCTGCGTGTCTGTGCGTCTATGTGTCTGCGTGTCTGTGCGTCTGTGCGTCTGTGCGTCTGGTGCGTCTTGTGCGTCTGGTGCGTCTGTGTGTCTGTGCGTCTGTGCGTATGTGCGTCTGTGCGTCTGTGCGTCTGTGCGTCTGTGCGTCAGTGCGTCTGTGTGTCTGTGTGTCTGTGTGTCTATGTGTCTGTGTGTCTGTGTGCCTGTGTGTCTGTGTGTACGTGTGTCTGTGTGTGTGCGTGTGCCTGCGTGCGTACGTTTGTGTGTGCGTACGTTTGTGCGTGCGTGTGTGCGTGCGTGCATGCATGTGTGCGTGCGTGCGTGCGTTTCATCGGTTGTTGTGCAACTCTTGACGCTTCGCGTCACGGGGCAAGGATCGCCTCCCCGCCCCCACCCCCAGCATCTATCCCGCAACATGGGATAAGGATCGCGCGGACGAGACTCAGTCTCGGAGTCGGCACTGCAAATGCTAGTTCAAGGCCCCCATTTGCAGGAATCCCGCCTCAAAAGTGGGAAGCATCGCGGACGGTACCGTCACTCAGGAGTGGGAGGCATCGCGGACGGCATCGTCACTGGGGATGACCCCCCTCCCTCTCGCCCCTCCCCTCGGCGAGGACCGTCAATAGGCCGCGTCGGTGAGGACCGCCATTAGGCCTCACACACCCCGCAACTTCCATCAATGGGGCTGCGGGGGTTCCCGCTCCCACCAGTCAACCCGTCCATCTTGCCGTCAATAGGCACCGGAAGGGGGCCGAGGACCCCCCCTACGGTCCCTCGGCCAAGGAAGACGGCCGCAGAGGGGGGTGACCCGTACCTCCACCTCATGACACACATGTGCCACCACCTTTCATCAGAGGCCATTCTGGCAATTGAGCCACACCCACCTTGCGCCCCAAGGGTGACGGCTCGATCCGTGCTGTAGGGTACTCATGCGGTCGTGTCCCTCTCCCAACCAACCAAGGGTGACGGTGCGACCCGCGCCGTAGTGGCACTCATGTGGTCATGCCCGCTCCCCCCCAACCGATCCGGAAGATCTATTTCAAGGACCTCTCGGGCTTTGACGCAACTAAAACATAATCCCAGAGCGGCCCTACCTAGGAGTTGGAGCCCCGAGGAGAGCGATAATTAAAGTAACGGTAAACGCCGTCCTCCTCCTTCTCCTGATCGTCACAGTTGTAGCAGTAGCGGTAGTAGTAGTAGTAGTAGTAGTAGTCGTAGTAGTAGTAGTAGTCGTAGTAGTAGTAGTAGTAGTAGTAGTAGTAGTAGTAGTAGTAGTAGTAGTAGTAGTAGTAGTGGTAGTAGTAGTAGTAGTAGTAGCAGTAGTAGTAGTAGTAGTAGTAGCAGTAGTAGTAGTAGTAGTAGTAGTAATAGTAATGGTAGTAGTAGTAGTAGTAGTAGCAGCAGCAGCAGCAGCAGTAGTAGTAGTAGTAGTAGTAGTAGCAGTAGTAGTAGTAGTAGTAGTAGTAGTAGTAGTGGAAGTGGTAGTGGTGGTAGTAGTAGTAGTAGTAGTAGTATGAGTACAGCTTAATACCTACATCTGCATCTAGACCTACATCCACATCTACACCTACAGCTATATCTGCATGTACACATGCATATACATCTACATCTGCATCTACAACTACACTCACATCGACATCTACATATACCCCTACAGCTACATCTACATGTACATCTACATCTACATCTACACCTACGTCCACATCTACACCTACACCTACATCTAAATCTACATATATACGTTGGCATTGGTTTCGCTAGGGTATGCTAGGCTGCGCTGTGTTATGCTAGGCTATGCTATGATATGATATACTGCGCTATGGTATGCTATGCTAATTATGCTGCACTATGCTATGCTATGCTATGATATGCTGCACTATGCTATGCTAGGCTAGGCTGTGCTATGAAATGCTAGGCTGCGCTATGATTGGGCTATGCTATGATATGCTGCGCTGTGCTATGGTATGCTATACTATGATATGATATGCTATGCTGCGCTATGCTGTGCTATGCGATGATATGCTACGCTATTTTATGATATGCTATGACATGGTAAGATATGCTGCGCTGTTCTATGCTAAGCTGAGCTAAGCTATGCTATGCTATGTTAGTATAGGATATGCTATGTTATGCTGCGCTATGCTATGATATGATATGATGTGATATGATGTGCTGCGCTATGATATGATGCGCTATGCCATGCTATGCTATGCTATGCTATGCTGCGCGAATGCTGCACTGCGCTAAGCTAAGCTAAGCTGAGCTAAGCTACACTAAACTAAGCCAGGCTAGGCCAAGCTAAGCTAAGCTAAGCTAAGCTAGGCTAGGCTAAGCTAAGCTAAGCTAATATAAGCTAGGCTAAGCTAAGATAAGCAACGCTAAGCTAAGAGGACGTAACTGGGGGAACCGCGGGGCGGATGCCGGGGGAACCGCCAGGGGCGAGCCCCACTGCCCGGCCCTTTAAGTTTACCGAGTAAGAACCCTTCTAGGCAGAGCCTACGTAGGGAACAATGGGAATCAATGAATTTGGTGTCCCCGTTCCTCGTCGTGTTTGTTCTCCCACTTTCCCCGCTCCAGCCCTTCCCCTGCCCCCCTTTGGTTCCCCCTCCGCTTTCCTGGGCTCCCACCCCGCCCCCACCCCGCAATGCGATCAGGTCCATGTGGCCTTTCTTAGGATCCCGCTTCAGGACCCTCCGTGACCGTGGCCGCGCGGTCCGTCGCACTCGTCTTCCACCACCTCCTCCTCCTCCTCCTCCTCCTCATCCTCCTCCTCCTCCTCATCCTCCTCCTCTTCCTCCTCCTCCTCCTCCTCCTCCTCCTCCTCCTCCTCCTCCTTCTCTCCCCCTCCTCCTCCTCCTCGTTTCCCGAGGCAGGGACGCAGGCCGTGGGAACCCCCACGGGTGACCCTAGTGGGCCTCCGGGTGCCTCGAACAAGTCACTGAAGACCAGCCAGGTCAACACCACCGCATCCTGCCAGTGACCTCGGCTGGGTGACGTCACCACATGTAGTCCGCCGTTTCGTCGCACTGGCCCCTCCTCCCGATGGCGCGGTGCGTTGATACTTGCGCATGTGCCCCGCTGCTGGTGCGCTCTTCCGGGGTCCGGTTCGGCCGCGCCTGCTGCTGTGGTCCAGCTCTCCCTGGCTAAAACACAGCGGGGCTACCTATGTCAATTCTGTGCCGCCCGCCCCGTCCCCCCAGCATCTATCCCGCAACATGGGATAAGGATCGCGCGGGCAATACACAGTCTCGGAGTCGACACTGTACATGCTGGTTTGGGGCCCCCATTTGCAGGAATCCCGCCTTAGTAATGGGAGGCATCGCGGACGGTACCGTCACTCAGGAGTGGGAGGCATCGCGGACGGCATCGTCACTCGGGATGACCCCCTCCCTCTTGCCCCTCCCCTCGGCGAGGACCGTCAATGGGCCGCGTCGGTGAGGACCGTCATTCGGCCCCACACCCCTCGCAGCTTCCATTAATGGGGCTGCAGGGGTTCCCGCTCCCACCAGTCAACCTTCCATTTTGCCGTCAATACGCGCTGGAGGGGGCCGAGGACACCCCCTACGGTCCCTCGGCCAACGAAGACGGTCGTAGGGGGTGGGTGACCCGTACCTCCACCTCAAGACACACATGTGCCACCACCTTCAATCAGAGGCGTCAACTGCCACCCACCACTCATATCCATCAGGATCTTGGCCGCGGTAAGCTCAGCGGGGCTTATGATGGGGCCGGTCCTGCTCGCTATGTGTTCCTTCTGTCGGCACGTAGCCCGCCCGTGCTGCACGGCTTTCGACTTGCTTCGTGAGCCCGCGTACCAAAAAAGTATCCCCACGGGTCCATCCAGACACGATCGCCTGGTGAATTGCCTTGATGAGGGCAGCGTAGAAGCATACAGTGCGACAGCCGCATGGGATGCCCTGTTGTTCAGCAGCGAGGGCGAGCACCAACGCGGTCGAATGCCGGCAGGCCGCGCGCGGCTAGGGCACACTGGACCAGAAGAACAGCAGCAGGGGGCGGCCGCGGAGGAGGAACGGGAGGAGCGGAGGCCTCGGGAATAAGGCATTTCTCCTCGTGTTCCTCCTCCCCCTCCTCCTCCTCCTCCTCGTCCCCTCCTCCTTCTCCTCCTCCTCCTCCTCCTCCTCCTCCTCCTCCTCCTCCTCCTCCTCCTCCTCCCCCCTCCTCAGGGTTCCAGGATGTCGCTTCCTGGTGCTGGATGCGTCATCGTCTCACTGGAAGGGGGACGGGGGTCCTCGATTGCTTCTCTCGGCTACACCCCAGGAATGAGCAGGCCGCCTGGAGCTTCTCGGGAGCATGGGCCGATTCGCCGACCATTTGGGATCACCTCTGCACATAAGAGAACTGCCCCTCCCAAACCGCCTCCCCCGGGAACCCACTCCAGTCAGTTTGGGCACGGGTGGGGCTGCCTGGCTGAAGCTGGTCGGCCAGAAGTTTATTTGTCCAGCGTCGCTCCTTGACATCCCCAACAAACATAGCATAACCGAGGGAAGCAAGTAGGGAACCCCGCTGCGTCGTCGATGGCACCGAAATTAACATAAAGATTCGCAGGGG